ATTTTTTAGCTGTAATTGGACACAATATCTTTATTTTATTTATTTATTTTTATTTGGTGCTGTGGATTGAACCAGAGCCTCGCATGTGCTAGGCGAACGCTCTAACACTGAGCCACAATCCCACCCCCAAGTAGTTGGTTTATAAGCATGCTTGAAACCATATTTATAAAGCTCAAAACAAACAAGAATCATAAAAATATGTAATAATGTTTTTGAAAGAAAATCATACATACAAAATCCTGGATAGTTAATAAGATAATAGGGGGCTGGGGATGTGGCTCAAGCGGTAACGCACCCGCCTGGCATGCTTGCAGCCCGGGTTCGATCCTCAGCACCACATACAAAGATGTTGTGTCCGCCGAAAAGTAAAATAAATAAAAATATTAAAAAAAAAAAAGGATAATACACAGATGTAGAATAATACTCTAGTACTCTGCTAAAGAAAAGTGATAACAAGTGCCTATTTCATTATTTTGCTTACTAATTTAGGAATACTACATTATTCTTATTCTACATTTGGTTCTTTATAGTAGGGATGAAGACCAAATAACACTTACATCCAATTCAAAGAACAGATCTCTTTCTTTACTTGCAATCTCATAATCTGCTCGGAGGGCCAAGTCGTGGATCTTGGTACATTCTCCTAAATCCATGCGCTGTGGGAAAACAAAACATTCACATATGAATATTTTGCAGAAAGTTGCAGAACATATAACAGGCCTTGAATTACTTTTTATGTTTTGGAATCAGAGATTGAACCCAGGAGTGCTTAACCATGGAGCAACATCCCCAGCCCTTTTTATATTTTATTCAGAGATAGGGTCTCACTAAATTGCTTAGAACCTTGATAAGTTGCGGAGGCTGGCTTTGAACTTACAATATTCCTATCTCAGCATTAGAGGCATGCACCACTGTGCCCAACTATGACTTGGTATTTCAACAGATAAGATAAACTATATTTTTTTGAGTACTAAAACTTGACAAGAAAATTAAGAAATCAAATATGGCTGAGAAGTTTCTTTTACCACCATGATTACGAGATACCTGGAAATGAAGCACTCAACAGTGTAAAGGTGCATCTCTAATTCAGATAAGTGAACTGCAATCAAGAAAACCTATCATATTAGCTCTCACCACCTTTATGCACTTACTCTTTATTTGCAGTACTGGCATTGAACACACGTCCTTGCACATGTTAGCCAAGTGCTCTACCACTGAACTACGTTCCCAGCCCTTTTTTACTTTACTTTGAGGGTCTTGGGAATACAGAGGTGTGCCACCATTCCTGGCACCACCAGTCTTATTTCTGCTGCAGGTGAAGCATTCAGTAATGAATGTTTTAAGGGGTGCAACTGGCAAGGGCCAGAACACAGTATCATCGTAACAGCTTTCTAGAATTCCTCCTTGTGATCTTGGCTACTCAAACTATTCCATGTTGGCTGAGAGAAGGCAGACCATGCAAGCAGGCTGAGCGTGGGGCTGGGGCTGTAGCTCAGTGGTAGAGTGCCTCCCTTGCATGTGTGAGGCCCTGGGTTCGATCCTCAGCACCACATAAAAATAAGTTCTGTCCAACTACAACTAAAAAAAAATTTTTTTTAAAAACTCTATTTAAAAAAAAAAAAAAAAAAGAGGCTGAGCGTGGAGAATCCCAAGTTCCAAGCCAATATGGACAAAAGAGATATTGTCTCAAAATTTAAAAACAGGGCTGGGGATGTAGCTTAGAGGTGAAACGGATGCTTAGCATGTACAAGGTTATGAATTTGATCCCTATTATGAAGAAAATGAAATAAAAAAATAAATAAATAAAAAGGAAAAAAGATGCTCTATGCTTAAGATGAAGAAACAAGAAAGCAAAAAGGAAAGATGAATCAGAAATTGAGTTCTGGCAATTACAACACAACCTAACAAGTGGCTTTGTGTGGCTCTTGATATAATTAAAGCAGAAAGGGCTGATTCAGAGTCCAAAGAATCATCCCAAAATTCTTCTAACCTGGTAAATGACCCTAGACACATAACTGGATCACTCAGTTGCCAAACTTGAGAAATAATAAGCCCTCTTACTAAAACAAAATGATCTGTGTTGTAAGATTAGCTTGATGTACTACTATGCGTTCTAACCAGATGTAGACTAAATAGGTAACAACGAATGCTTTTTATCTAAACCCTAAGACCACAACTCTGTGTAGGCACCTCCACTCTGGCCATTTGGATAACAATAAAGAAGTTTGCACAGATGGTATTAAATTAACAAAAATTTACCTGATCAGAAAAAAAGCACATGTCTACATAATTAGTAAAAATAAATAAATAAATAACATTGAACTCCAGTAACTCCTTTAAACTCAAACTATAACTATGGGGCTGGGATTGTGGCTTAGTGATACAGCGCTTCCCTAGCATGTGTCAGGCATTGGGTTCAATTCTCAGCACCACATACAAATAAGTAAAAAATAAAGATCCACCGATAACTAAAAATATTAAAAAAAAAAAAAAAAAAAAAACCTGTAACTGTGATCAAAACTATTTTTTAAAGTTCCTGGATTATAAAATCCTCACATCCTATGCAAATTAAAGGACAGGCCTAGTCTTGTAGAAAATGTATGCCAGGCTTAGTAACAAAATACCATTCCATTTTACCAGCAACAGAGCCAGAATGGGGTTGGGCAAACAAGTAGTGGAATTTATCTTCATTTTGTGACTTTTCTCCATTATTTTTATTCTGAAGTCAGATGTAGCTCACGTTATGCTGATTATATAGGGGGTCTAGAAGAAGGGTAAACAGTGGTTCTAAAAGCCAAAGTTTCAAGTAAGATCATCAACCCTGTAAACCTGATAATTTCTGCTTCATAAGCTTTTCTAAGTACCATTACTTTTTTTTTTTTTTTGATACTAGAGATTAAACCCAAGGGCACTTTATCACTGAGTTACACACCCAGTTCTTTTTTTTTTTTTTGAGACAGGATTTGCTAAATTGTCAAGGTTGGCCTCAAACTTGTGATCTTCTTGTGTTAGCCTCCTGAATAGCTGAGATTATAGGTGTGTGCCACTGCACCTGGCCTGGGTACTTACTATTCAGCCAGGTGTGGTGGGCCAGGCCTGTAATCCCAGCTATTAAGAAGGCTGAAGCAGAAGGACTGCAAGTTTGAGCCAGCCTGAGGAATTTAGCAAGACCTTGTCTCAAACATAAAGAGGGAGATGGATGTAGCTCAGTGGTAGAGTACCCCAGGGCCAATCCCTAGTACAGCCAAAAATAAATAGACAGATACATAATTTCCACAAATGGAACTAAGTGCTTACAAAGGCTCTGTTGTTGAAAGAAAAAACCATCACCAAAGGAAGTTAAGAACTAAAACCTTTTAACTCAAGTACAAAAAGTCTTAAGTGCACACTGGCTTCTATTTTAAACACTCAACTATCAAGCAAGTTTTGACATTAGAAAATCTCACCTTAAGCAAAGCTCAACACTTTATTTATTGACGTGAGGGCTCTCAAAATTCACTGTTAAAGCCGGGTGCAGTGGTGCACATCTGTAATCCCAGCGACTCATGAGGCTGAGACAGGAGTTCAAAGCCAACCTCAGCAACCACGAGGAGCTAATAAGCAACTCAGTGAGACCCTTCTCTAAATAAAATACAAAACAGGGCTGAGGATGTAGCTCAGTGGTTGAGTGCCCTTGAGTTCAATCTCTGGTACAAAAAAAAAAAAAAAAAAAAAAAAGTCACTGCTAAAACAGAGTACAAGTACAGGATTGGGATCCATGACTACCTTTTTTGGTATACCTTTCCAGCTATGTCAGGAAGCAAGGAGACACTGGCCATTCCACAAGTAGCTGAAACACCAAGCTGAATTGATATATCACATTAAATTCTTCCAAAATACTCCAATTTGGCTATGAAGTCCAATGTGTCAGACCATTTTTAACTATGAGATGTAGTACCAACACCTATGTTTTCCACTCTATGCTCTGGTGGTCTAACATGGCTGACAGAAACCCAAACATAATGGTATACATTCCAACTAGTAGTGAGTACTGAGGCAGGAGAATTACACAAGTTCAAGATCAGCCTGGGCAACTTAGCAAGAACAGTCTCAAAAGTAAAATAAAAAGGGTTGGGGATTTGTTCAGTGGTTGAGTACCACAAAAAAGAAAGCCAGGTGATGGTGCATACCTTGTAACCCCAGCAACTTGGGAGGCTGGGACAGAAAGATCCCAAGTTGAAGGCCAGCCTGGGCAATTTAGTGAGACAACTAGGAAGATAGCTCAATGGTAAAGCACCACCATGTTCAATCCCAATGAGGAAAAAACAAACAAACAAACAACAAACAAAAAAATCCACTGTTGACAAGGAAGGCAACTAGAGGTGCCTGAATCTTCAGAAAATGGAAGTTCTACCAAGACCTAGTACACCACCTTACCTCCAATTGCTACTTTCATCTTCCAAACTCACTACATTTTCCCATAGGCCTCAATAATTATTTCCATTACTTCCTGACCCACCCCATTAAAACCTGGACCAGGAGCAGCCCTCAGCAGGCTGAAGATTACAAACACTTTCTCTCTGCTGCTAAAGAACTATGTTCATTCCTCTTCAGTGTACTGCAAAAAGAACTGCACAGAAGAGTGATCTGGTTCCACTATACCTCACCTCCAAAAAGCCCATAGCAAAGCTCAACACTCACAACCTCCTTTAGAATTCCCAATCCTCACCCTATTTTCAGCAGCCTCTAACCTTTGCAAAGCACTGTCTTCATGTGCATCTATACTTCCTGGGTTTATTCCTCCTCCTCCTCCTCAGCCTGCTCTAATTAAACATCTCTGTTGAGCTATCTTGCCCAATTCAAGCACTACAATGATCCACCAAGCCCATTACTTTTTTCCACTCACCTAACTCCACAGCTCTGCCTCCCTCATAACAGATCAGACACGCTCCCTCTGATCTTGCCTCCACCCAGAACATGATATCCCTGTAACCACACTCATGTGTTCTTTCACCTTTCAGGTCTCTGCTCAAATGTCCCTCAGAAGCCTTTCCATATCATCCTAGCCTAAAACAGCTAGTTATCTACTTGCTGTCCACCCTCTTTCCCACTAAATAAGAGTGTGGATTTTACCACTGGCTTGGTATCTCTAGCACCTGGCACACAGCAGTGGTCTAATAATAAATATTAAGCAAATAACTTTTAACCTAACAAAAAGCACCTATGGGAAACCCTTATTCTGATTATTTTTCTTGCCAGTGTTCCAGAGCAATGCCAAAGGGCTCTGACCAATGAAAATATGACTGAAATCCTCAGTAGGGTTCATGTCCATCTGCTTTACTGCTTTTTTCTGGTATGGATTTGTCAATGTTTCCAAGTTGTGATTCCTACACAAGAATGTATCCTACTGCTATACTGCTCATCACTAATGGAGATTACTAATCTGCACACATTACTCACAATTTGCTACAGAAAATAACAGTATGATGTTTTTCTACCCTGGGTTAGACTGCAAGCAGGTCCCAAGTAACCCAGGCATAAGTTTGGTGTTCATTTCATGTCTACGGCCAGAAATGCCAGTCTTGAAGACGTAGTATAGCTGAGCAGTTCCTCAGCAGATATGTTCCCAACATGGTAATAACAGAAGCCATGATTCACCATGAAGAAATGTTTTCTGGAACACAAGTGGGCAGTTTTTACATTCCACAAGGCAGCCGTAAAGACTTAAAAGGGGGATCCTTCGTAGAACACTTTTGCTTTAAGTGAATGAATAGATGATCCTCCACCACTTATTCTTCTTAAATTGTGTTTAATTTTGAATAAATGTAAATTCCACAAAACTAACAACCATTTTGTTCACCTGAAATAGATTCTACAGTCACTGGATAATGTATGGATTTCACAAAAAGGTGTTCCACAAAACTAACATCCATTTTGTTCACCTGAAATAGATTCTACAGTCACTGGATAATGTATGGATTTCACAAAAAAGTGACATAATAAAAACTAAAAAATTAATGCTATCCCCAACTGTTAAAAAAAAAAAAAAAAAACTATATAAGAAGAAAATGTACCTTGCTTGGTAAAGAGCCTAGAATATAGTCAACCAGTAATCATACAAACAAATCCATCCAGAATTTTCAAAGAACTACAGGCTGACATAAAGTGCATATTGTGCTACATTAGAACGTTTGTACTACTTAGTTGTATGTATTTCATTGTGAATGATTTTACAAAAACTTGATAAATTCTTACAAACAGAATTTCACACCACTGAAATATGTTCCATAACATAAAATTCCACCACACTAACTTGAAAATTAGCAAGTAATTTCTGCCTGTTGGAGGAAAATAAAATTTAACCTGAAAACCCTTCACTGTCTACACAACACCCAGGGTGAGTATTTCCTGAGGTCCCCAAAAATGTACCTACCGTCCCAGCCAGGATGTCATGGGGGCAGCAGTCCAGAAGGTGACTCTTGCAGACTCGATCATCTGTAAACTTGACCCTCTGTCTGGTTTCGTCTCCTGAAATTCATTTGTGGTTTTAAATAAGACAATATTATCAGGCTAATCACAAAAGGATATCTGGTACAACAATTCACCTGGATGATTTGCAGACTATCATTTCTGTGTTTTCCCCATCACATATACTGAAAAGCTGATCTAGAGACATTTACAACTGGAGTAGAATACAGAATTTTTTTTGGAGGCCAAATTTACCATGAAGAATCACAATGATATCTGACTCCATCTTTGTGCCAAAAGAAGTCAAGGAGTCAGAAGTAAAAGACTGAGCACCAAAAGGCCATTGTCTAATACATATACATGTGGGCAGTGAGATACCAATGAGTGCCATCAATCAACTGTGTGACTTATAGTTGATAATTTCTACAAACAAAATCTACTTATTAGCTTAATCTTTTTGTTATGGAGAAACACAAAAGCGGTGGTTTGCCCAAATTTACATAAAGAAGAAAGGTTTCAAACTCTTATCACTGACTGTTAAATAATCTAGATCTATTTTTCTCATTCCCCTTTCATCCCCACCCTTAAAAAAGAAAGTTGGCACCTGGGAGTCACTTTTAACAAGACAATACCAAAAAAAGCAAAAAGGAACTAGGTTAGTCAATACACACTGTGAGCTCCAACACATACTGTACCCATCTGCATTCTTCAAGACCTCAGCTGCAGAATTTTATGCCCGCTGTTGAAAAGTTTTAAAGGAAAAGTTTTCTTGCCCACACCTGCAGTAAGGAAGTCAGGGGGAATGATACATAAAAGTAAAGGCAAAGTGGTATGTGACAAATTTTAAAGCTAATCTGTGTATAGGACACAGAGCTGTGTAATAGTCAAGGAGGAATATATTTTAGGACTTGCAAGCATCCAGGATTAATGTAGTGTCTTTTTATTGAAAATGTTTTCTTTCTAAACTACACTTTTAAAGTTACTTGTGAAAAAAAGCAAACACTTTTTTGTTATAACAGCTTAGAAATTGGTTGTGACTCACGGCTCGATGAACATGAGGCTTTTCTGCAACTCCCTTGCAGATTGATGTAGGCAGGCAAAGATACACTGAACCTTTATAAATAAAATAGAGGGGCCACAATTGTTCAGTTTGTATGAAATAAAAATATGGGAAGCAATTCAAAAGCAACTCAATAAACAAAGAAAGCTAAAAAGCACTTATTCACCTATGAAATAAAGTGCAAAGAATCTGCACAGCCCTGAGAATGTGCCAGTGTGAACTTACAACTTCATTACTTCAGTAGAAAAGGAAACAAACCACAGCAGATATTTGTTTTGCAAGGATGCAACCGCTTTATCCTGAGACAACCATGATCTTTCGCTCCTCCCTACAGTACAACCTACCTAACGACCGCCAAGCGCTGCCTAAGCAGAGGCTCTCCTGTGTGGTTGGGGGAAAGAGGGGCTGGAGAAGTACTGGACAGAAACCCACATTAGAAAAGCTCAATTTATGGCTACCCTTCAATGGTACAGGACAGAACGCCCCAGGGTTTCGAGGCCCATTCTTCTGCCCTGAGGAGCCACAGAGAATTCCGCCGCCTGGCTGCCAGCGACCCAGAGCCCGTGCTGGTTCCAGCCCTTCGCCGACTCTCCGGTTCGTGCGGGGACGCAGGGCCGCTGCGCCGACGGGAAGCCGCAGGAGCCCCTCGCGCGGACTCCGAGGAAGAAGCCTGCCCCAGACCCACGGCCGGCCCACTGGGAGCCCGGCCGCGGGCTCGGTGGAGGCGAACCGGCTCAGACAAAGGCCCGACGCCGGCTGTCCGCGAGCGGGGGAGGGGCGCTGAGCCCCGCGCAGACGCAGACGGCCATGGCCCCCGCCTCGGGCCGCCCGGCGGCCTCGCCTCACTCTCGCCCCAGCCCCTCGCCTGGTCGGCCGCCCAGACTCACCGTCCCGAGCCGTGCCCATGAGCTGGTCCAGCAGAGCCCGCATCTGCGCCTGGGCGGACATGGTGGCCAAGCGGGCGAACGCGACAGCTCCTACCGAGGTGGCGGCGGCTACGAAGAACGGCCCCGTCGGTCTAGAGCCCGCTCGGCTCTTGCCCGCCGCGGGGGATGCCGGGAGGAAATGCGTGGCGCCAGTGCTTGGCCTACTGGGAAGTGTAGTTTCGGGGGCAGGGCAGGCGTAGGCCTGGGGGCGGAGCCAAAAGCCCCGGACCAGGCACCGCCCACCTTTTACCGCAGACGCCCCGCTGGCTGGGAACCTGCACTCTTGAACTTCCACAGTATGGAAAGCAAAGTCTTCTACCAGCGGTGAAGGCGTGCGTTTAACACTTAAGTGCCTGGGCTGTCTTACTTCTATAGAATTGGCGTGCTAAACTGCTCTCTTAGGGATTCCGCCATCCCGCACTGAAGACTGAGCCGCTCTGCTGCTGAGCCAAATTCCTAGCTTTTTTTTCTTTCTTTCTTTTGTTTTGTTTTGTTTTGGACACACAAGATCTCCCTAAATTAAGTTGGCCTGGAACTTGCAATTGTTACCGCTGTTGACCATTGATGAGTCCTTGCTTCCCCAATGTTGAAGAATAACACCAAAGAAGCACGCGAGGCAAGGTCAGAGTAGAAATTAGAAGTTTATTAAAGGACAGCAGAAAAGACTTCTCCAGGAGGAAGAAGGGGACCCAAGAGGTGGAATCCGTGGAAGTGCGGTTGTCTCCCCTTTTTATAGTTTTGGTGATGGAATGTAGGTTGGAAGGCCTGAGGGGTGGGACACAGGTGGGCCAAACAAGTAATCTGGGCAGGAAGGACTTCATTATCACTTCTTGGGATGGGCTATCTCCAAATCTGTTGGGTTCCATTAACATTTCTTTGGGGTGGACTTTGGCCTAGGGCCTTTCCGGGACTTCATTAACATTCCATGAGTTGTCCTGCGTTTCCAGGAATCATTATCAGCATGGCCTCCATTTTAGATTTCACTCGATATGATATTAGACCCAATTTACCTAACTACACTGACTACCTAATTTTAAATCTGGCTTCACAATTTGCAGTTCTCCTGCCTCAGGCTCAGGAATCACTGGACTTGTAGGCATGTGCCACTGCACCTGGCTCATAGGAGACTTTTTCTTTTTTTCCTTTCCTTTTCTTTTTTTTTTTTTTTAATTTATTTTTTAGGTGTAGATGGACACAACACAATGCCTTTATTTTTATGTGGTGCTGAGGATCGAACCCAGTCCACCCGCTCTAGGCCAGCGCTCTACCGCTGAGCCACAATCCCAGCCTCTCAAACTACTTTTCATAGCTCATTATGCCCTGTGAGGTCTGGACCCTCTGGAACCATATCTTACCTGGGTTCCACTCCCCAGATTTCCTCAGAATACTGCAGTCATCAATGCTCTTTCTGGCATGGATATTGTTAATTTAAAAGAAAATGGCATTCCAGGACTTCCCCATTTCTTCATCCTCCACAAAGACCTCTAATAACACCTGATATTTGGATTATGATATAAACACTTATTATGCAAATACATACAGATAAAGGCAAAGATTTAAAAAGAAGGACCACAAAGTTCTTTTTTAAAGCATCAAAGGCTTTAGGACAGGAATCTCCTGTGTTTCTCCTTTGCTAGCAAAGCAATAAAACTTAGTTTTCCTTTTTCTCAAAACGGTGTCCTCT